TAAAGAAAGTCTGTAATATAAATAGTATTTCTTGACATGATTTAATTATTTTGTTATTGGAAAATGTACATTTTGTTCCACGTGAAAAAATCACGCGTGTTGATAGATTTGTGGTTACGCGATTTGTGGAATAAGCTCTGGAAACCGAAGAATACACACCAATCTTATCACGATAAAGGATTATCACAGTATTTATTACAGATGAAATTGTTTTTATTAAAGTCGCACTTATCATGTGAAAGTCTTTTAGAAATACTAAGCGCTTTATACAAAATATATGTGGTTAAGGTTTACTACTTCTTTCTTCGGTAGTTATAGCATTCTGTTACATTGTTTATCAACATTTTGAATTAAATTTTGTTCATTAATGGGTAATGAAGTCGAGATCGATATAACAAAATGCTGTTCCTATAATGTAGCGTGTTGTATCATACAATCTTCTGCATAGTATATTAGTAAAATAGTTTTGTTTGGTATAGACGCAATTGCAATTAGGGGGAGAGGTACGCTATGAACTGTCTTCAAACCAAGAAATCTACCATCCTGTTGATACTACTCTGGATGCTGTTCTGCAGCCCATTATATCGTAAGTGCTTCTTTTCATTGCTTTGTGCTTCTCAGTTGTGATAATATCCATTAAAAAGTCGATTAAACTGAAGTATTGCTTTATTAATGCCTAACGCGGTATATGCCACTGAGTATTCTACTTATTGTTAGAAATTACACTTACAATTACACTTACCGTAAAACATTGGTATTTTTCACGTAAATTGTAATAGACCACCGTTTTATTCCTGTTTTTGAAAATTTATTTTTAAACAAACATTTGATCACATAATAATACATTCTGTTTTGCACTGTTTCAGAACTTTAACAAGGAGGCAACGATACCACCCGAAATGAGCATCAAGCTTTAAATAAATATAAAATAGACATTTATGCACATATTGTATATTTAAGGAAGTTTTTATACCTCATTCAAATTAAATATCTATAATCCCATCGGTCGCTGAATCTTATGAAATGAAACATAAACAATGAATTACATGCGCAGCACTTTTATTCCTCATTAAAAATAGTGTCCCTAATCTTATCTAGTCCTTTATTTAGCTCTCTTTCGATGCCATGTGCCTCATCAGATTTCCTATAAACTTTTCCATCTTCTTTAAGTCCTGTGCTATCTCTGTTTTGTACTGTAGACACTACGGCAAAAATTACAATTGTATTATTTAAATAAGTCTTAAGAAATTATAAGGTAAGTTACATAAGGGTAATATTTACCGTTCGATTATCTGTAAGTTTTAGACATAGGATACCTTTATTATGGCAATATTTCATTGTATACCGAGTCTGAAAGAAGCAAATAATAAATTATAAACTTACAATCATAAAATTGATTAAAAATATGACATTTGTATGTGTACATTTCTACCATTTAACCTGTCTTCTAATATTAAAATAAATGGAAATCCTATACAATATTAATTTAAAATTGTCTTTTATCCTAACACAATTACACCCTAAATTTCGAACAGTTTGAATATTATATTTCTTAGTATGAAAAAACTGTTGAAATAAAATTTCGTTTTAACATCAGCTAAGTGACGTGTCATGCTGTACTGTCAATCTCTCTACATAACCTACGAAAGTTCTACAAATTACTGAATGAAATAAATTTGTATAACATTACTATTGCAAAATATGGAAAATTATCAAAATATAATGATAAGAAGAATGGAATAATGAACGTAAATTTGAATTAAAAATTACCTTTATTGGATCTTGAAGATATAACCTCTCAGCGCCTTTCTCGAACTCTTCCCATGAACTTGAATATGTCATCTTATAACTAATAAAAAAAAAAAACACAATGTAGTAAAAGTGATACTACACCAGAATTTCTATTACGTATCCTAAAATCAATTCAACATATCGTCAGAAACAACGATATTGAACAAAATATTACATACATTCTAAACGGAGCAGTTGGTCACTACGATCTTGTTAGAGATGCTCCAAAAGACTAAAGCGACACCTCCATATATATTCACCACCAGAGGGCTAAGAACAGTAGTAAAATTATTTTCGATAATAATTCAAATTTCAGCAAATTTAGAATTCCTTCGAAATTCAATACACTACGGATGATCGATGGTGATGCTAGATGGGGCCACAACTATTTTCATTTATTTACGATTCATTCTATCAAAAGAACCCATTCCATCGTTAGAAACATACTAAGGGTGTATCCTGAAAGGCCTCCTCTCACTTAGCCGGTCAATGAGCGGATAACAATAAACGTGGCGCCATCGGTGGGAAAACGCCCAAGTTTATAGTGTATATAGTAGGCGCCTAGGTGCACCTCGTAGACGGCCACCCGAACCACCCACTTGTCAGTTCGGTTGCCACCTCGAAGGCGCATGGATATCTCGGTATGCAGCAACCAGGACCAAAATCTGCTCCGTGCCACCTCTTCGCTTATCAATAATCCTGTTAACAAGAGTAGAATTCAGACCAGATGTAGGTACGTACAAGAATGTGGTTCGTCCCAATCTTTGCACATCATATGATCATGATACCAGGAATCAAATTCGGCCCAGATTTAGATACGTATCAGAATTTAATTCGTGCTACCTCCTTGCTTATCATGTGATCCTGATACTAGAAGTAACATTCAAGCAGATTTAGGTACGTACAAGCATGTGGTTCCTGCCACCTCTTCGCATATCAAGTCTTCCTGATACCAAAATGTAAAATGAGGCCAGAATTTCATACGTACCAGACATTCCTCATATGAAATTCTGGCCCGATTTTACAATTTGGTATCTGGAGAACATGATATGCGAGGAGGTGGTATGAGAAATTCATGGTACGTATCCAAATTCTGAGGAAATTTTATATCTTGGTATCAGGAGCACATGATATGCAAAGAGGTGGCACGTCTGCGCCTACGGGCAGGCAACCAGACAGACATATCTGTAAGTATAGGTTGCCTAATGCCAGGCGCACGTTGTCGGTACGTTTCGAAATTCTGGCCGATTTTGCATTTTGGTATCAGGAGCACATGATATGCGAGGAGGTGCCACGTTTGCGCCTACGGGCAGGCAACCAGACAGACATATCTGTAAGTATAGGTTGCCTAATGCAAGGCGCAAATTGTCGGTACGTTTCGAAATTCTGGCCGATTTTGCATTTTGGTACCAGGAGCACATGATATGCGAGGAGGTGGCACGTTTGCGCCTACGGGCAGGCAACCAGACAGACATATCTGAAGGAATAGGTTGTCTAATGCAAGGGGCACATTGTCGGTACGTTTCGGAATTCTGGCCGATTTTGCATTTTGGTATCAGGAGCACATGATATGCAAGGAGGTGCCACGTTTGCGCCTACGGGCAGGCAACCAGACAGACATATCTGTAAGTATAGGTTGCCTAATGCAAGGCGCACGTTGTCGGTACGTTTCGGAATTCTGGCCGATTTTGCGTTTTGGTATCAGGAGCACATGATATGCAAAGAGGTGGCACGTTTGCGCCTCCGAGCAGCCAACCAACCTTACATATCTGTGAGTATAGGTTGCTTAATGCGAGAGGCACATTTTCGGTGTGTTTCAGAATTCTGGACGGATTTTATATTTTGGTATCAGGAGAACATGATATGCGAAGAGGTGGCACGATAAATAAGTAGTACTTACCTAATACTTACCCGAATTTGCGGTCTAGTATCAGGAGAACATGATATGCGAAGAGGTGGCATTAATAATAACTAGTACTTACCTAATACTTACCCGAGTTTACGTTGTAGTATCAGGAGAACATGATATTCGAAGAGGTGGTACGACGAAACTCTGATACGTATCTAATTTTGGTCCCATTTTGTTCCAATGATGTTAGAATGTATTAGAAGTTGTTAGGAGGTGTCAAAAAGTTTCAGGAAGTGTCAAGAGGATGTTAGTGGTTTTTAGACGATGTCAGAGGAAGTGTTAGTAGGTGTTAGAGGTTATTAGAGGGTTTGCAGATGGTGTAAGGAGATGTTAGAAGGTGTTTGAGATTGTCAAGAAGTGTTAGACGGTGTTAGGTGGTGTTAGATGTTAGAGACTGTTTGGAGGTATCAGGAGTTGTGTGGAGATGTGAAAAAGTGTTAGAAGCTGATGAGAGATGTTAGGAAGTGTTCATATGTAAATAAAAAAAAAGTGTCAGTCAGTGTCTAACTCGGCCTGAACGAAAAGAGAATGAAATGTTAGTTGTCATCAAGTACGCGCGAGTATGCCCCTGTCAGATATCAACCGGTTTGACCAATTTGTAGGACAGGTTGCTACATCATTGGCGCAGCGGTGCCCCTGGTATGCTGCAACCAATACTAGCTTGCTTGTCGTTTCGGTTGTCATCTCGAAGGTGCAGCGTTGCCCCTTGTATGCGGCAACCTATGCTGACTGGTGTGTCTGTTCAGTTGCCATCTCGTAGGCGTAGGTTTGCCCCCGGTATGCGGCAGCCGTTACTGTCTCTTTTGTTAGTTGAAATTAGTTGTCACCTCGTAGGTGCAAAAGTGCCCCTGTTATACACCCATTAGTGCCATCTTTATTTTTATTTTGGTTGTAATTTTGAAGTTGCCGCGTGCTAAATTTCACAACTATGTACTACGTTCGATAAAATAATATTCTAAAAACTAATTTCAACTGTAATTGTATCAATGACTACTTTCTTTGTTATTAAGACTCATAATCAAATAATAATTTAAGATCTTTACTATTGACAATATATCGTTATTAATACTTTCTGTATATATTGTGTTTTGACTAGTATAGTTAGGAAAGAACCAACTTAATTGGTTCTTTTAATTCTTACCGCCAATTCACATGCATATTCACATTTACGCTTACATATGAGTATATGTACATACAAAACTATGTAACTATTAGCTTTATTATTTATTATCTATCACGATTTGTTTGTATCATTATTTTACGAACGTACGTAATCTGATTTATATTGATTTTTACATGTATTAATCCAGTCTTGTTTGTTACAAATCACTATTCTTGTGTATATTTCATTCCATGTCACATTTACATTGCTTTAGATGAATCCATATCTTCAATCATTACCATGGTTTACATTATTTCTTACATTACATTACATTCCTCTATATGTCTGTTGGGGGTCATTGGTCTCTATACCGACTATTACCAAAGACAAGATTAATGTCAATATAATATACAGAATTGTGTTACAATAATCCCAAAATTAAGGAATTATGTAAGGCAAAGTAATGCTAAGAAAAATGGAAATAATTATATTGTAATGTATGCATTCAGTCCAATAACTGAAGTGACAATTACACGCTTAAATAAACAAAGCTGAAGCTCAGTCGTCGGAGTTTCCAATCAAACCCTATCCCTGGTACTTCCACCACTCTCGAATGGATAGTTCCTTCATTCCACGGTATCGTGATCGAAAAGAAGTAATATGTGTCCGCGGGTGGGGAACCAGGAAGGATCTCGCGAAATCGAAGAAACACGCGCGAAGATCGCGTCGGTATCGGGTTTTCTCACTTGGAGAACGCCGACATCAGCGAAACGAGCGCTCGTCTTTGGCCGATCGAGCTCGCCGATAATCCGACTTACGATTTACCGGCATTCGCGGATCGCCGTGGCGTGAAACAGCAGCGAGATAGAAACCCCTCTGAATCGTAGCACCGATAGAGGCACGGTTGCGTTATGTTGCCGCTAATTTGGATTTATGTTCGCATTCGCACGTCGTGCCTCGACACCTCGCGCCGCCACCGACACCGGCCGATCTCTGATCGAACGCCCCCCTTTTTCCACGTTTTGCAGAAAATTTAGCGGCCTGTTGCTCGATTCCGTTGCGGGAAGCGAGCAGCTCCTCGAGTACACTCAGTGTGATGCTTATACTTGAATCGATAGTGGAATAATTGTATTAGAAAATACTTCGAAATATGTATAATTTTAAGTATAATTCGCAATATAATAATAAAAATTAAAGTATAATAAAAATATGTATAATATAATATAATGCATGAATTTTTAACTTTTATGTATTCATTTTATATATAAAATTACAATTTGGGGAATTGGTTGATTCATTGAGCAACATATCTTTAATTAAAAATCCTTATAAATAAATTGGTTAATCTAGCGTACAGACGGTTTATCTCAGCTGAAATACATATATTTCCAACAACTAAAATTAAAGTTAAATGCAAATAACGTTAATATGTGGCGATGAAAGAACGTCAAATGAACAAAAAAAAAAAAAAAAAACAAATGTTAAAAATATAACGTCGGTCTCTTGCTAGTAATTACTCAGCTGTATCACATTTTCAGTCATAATTGCAAAACTTAAAGAGCAATATAGGCTAATGCCTCGGCTCATCTGTTTCCAGAGGACTTTCTAACTTTTTAACCTTTATATATTCTTACTGAATCTCTGACAATTCCTCAACAGACTCTCTCGCTGACTGTAACAGACCGACACGCTTTTCAATCGTGCAAGGCTCTTGCGACTATTACATGTACGCGCAAACTCACGCCACTTATATCTCCTCGCGACCAAAGTTGCACGTGCATCTTTAGAACTCGCTCGGAATGCCTACCTTTACATTATTCATATGTAGATATTGGAAGCACAACTGTTGCTAAAGCAAGACTGATGGTGGCTCGAACGTGACTATTGAATTTTGAAATGTAGCTAAAGGCGAGTGAAACGTCGCTGCATAGATGGAAAATTGAAATATCGTGTATTAGATGCTGATTTGTACTACGTCGGTGTTGACTGACTATACATTTTGAATGAATCGAATTGAATACAAATGTCGATATTTTGATCGATCATCGAGAAATCTTTCCTTCGAGAAGAGTGTCCTTGTTTAGGTATGAATGAACTAGGCCAGCTTTAGAATTCTGCAACATGTAGTGTAATTAAGATATTAGTTTGAAATCTTGTCTCAGTTTTTATACATGTTTTTATAAGTTATACAAATTTTTTGTGTAGAAGAATACATTGTTGTTTTGAAGATATAATTTGTTTGATTTATAATAAAAAGAAACCAAAGAAATTAATAATCTATATGTGTATCTATTGGTTCAGCTTGAATTAGACTAAATGAGAAATACTACAAAATTAGTTAAATGGAAGCAATTTGAAAACAATATATTGATATTTAGGTAAAAATTTCGCAGTTTAATCTTGACAAAAATCAATTAATTTACTGATATTGTATTTTCCTTTATTTTTGACAAAAAGGAAACGCTTACTTAAGGACTATATTGAAGTCAATTGAATAATTATTTTGTTCAATGTCATCTTTAACTTCTTGAGGGATATTAACCCTTAAATGCCCTAAGTTTCAATGTTGATACCGGACTTTTAAATCGAATTGTACACTTGTAATTGGTTTGTTTTTAATATTTGTCCTGTATGTATATTATCATTGTATAATGTTCATTTGAACAAAAGTTAAACAAATAAACGTCAGCTGTCGAACTTGTTCAAATAATAAATACATTGATATTTTTACAAATTTAATTTGGAGAATCAGGCTTCTAAGGGTTTAACACATATTTGTACGTCTGCATTTATATTGAAATAATCATTGCTTACAATCCTGATACTTCTCGGAAATAAAAATATAAATATAATGAAAGTGAGACAGCAAATTTGTACGTTAAAATCGATCCACAGATAAAAATTGGTTTGTGAATTCGATTAAAGCAAAAAGAAATCCATTTAAAATTCATTTCTCAAGAGATTAAAGTTTTCAAAAAGATGGTTTGAAGAGGATGGGTTTAATGTAACAACCAGGTGTAGCATAATTGTTCTAATACCTTTAATTTACATAATTGTATCACGGTCGTGTAGTCTACCTTCTACTTCTTCGGAATTGTCGTATTGCTGAGTGATTTCATTTCTGAAAGCTGCACTGGCCTCTTTTGTCACGTCGAACGGTCGCCGATTCAACCGTTAGACGCATTACTCGTCTCTTAGATCAGCAAAATTGTACAATCGCGGCCCGATTTTCACTCCCATCAATGTCAAGATTTATAGGCTCGTATTAACCCCGCGCAGATATACTGGACAACTTTTACCGTTTCGGATGCCATCAGAAAATTCTCCGCAAACCTGTCGCTGAAAAACAATAAAAACGATTCTCTTTATTACATTTATAACAACTCGATAAAATAAAATTAGATTTATACGTCGGTTACATAATTTGTATCGAGACACTTTAAATCTTCCGTTAAATGTTCGTTTTAAATTCGACAATTTTACATGTGTACGCCAAGTCAACTTTCGAAGATATCTATCCAGGTTAATCGAAGAAATGCTGTCGATGAATGATAGGAATGACACGAATTATCGTTTCTTTCATCAGCGCCATATTTCTTCTGTCAGCCTGAATTAGCCAGTCAATACGCTTTATTTATGTATATTGTTAACACACATATGATTAGAAGTGATGAAGAAAATAAAGACGACCTATCAAATTATTTATATCTATAACTTATATTTATATACTTATTTATATATTTATATATTTATATACTTATATATTATAGATGAGAAAGTTAAAGTAAGAGCAAACATATGCTAATAAACTCACGTATACATGTTACAGTCACTTAATTATTACTGTGAGATTCTAAACCAAAATGTGTAAGTACCTACACAAATATTAATATCATCATATTAATTTACAGAGTATATTCTGCATGTATTATGTATATTTTGTGCATTTATTAGGTTGTCCCAAAAGTTTCTTTCGCTTTGTTAATAAGTAATACATGCACAATATTTTATGTTTTATGTTACATTACTGAATTGCGCACGATTCATTTCGCTCCATTACTGTTACAACATGAATATCTATGAAATTAAATTGTCTATTCATATAAACACGACCACATAAAATAATTGAGTGCAACTCGCGAAAGAAACTTTCGGAACAACCTAATATTAATAAACTCAAATATGCAATGTACTTCTATAACATCAACAATATTTAGATTAGGTCTATATAGATGTACAGTATATTATTGTAGTAATTGGCAGAATATATTTTACACGTATTATGTATATTTTGTGTTTATATTAATAAACTAATAAACTGCAAATATACACACACCGTAAATGTTGAAATGTTTGTAACTAATCCAAATATTAAGGCTTCCTTTCGTATTTCCTTTTCTTATAAAACGTAGTCTAAACATTTAAATAATTTATAGAAATATGTACTTGTAGGCTTTTCTATCTCTGCAATTCTACACCTCAGTAAACCTGTAAGGTCTTAATACTTTTAATAAAAAAGTCAAGTCCACGTTACCGCGCGTTGTTGGAAATTGTGCAGTTAGCAAAGTGTTAAGAGAAAGTGGAAAACGTAACGACGTCCCTGTAACACGGTCTTCCGATTTCTCGCTGTCATCAACGGGGTAACTCTACACGAAAAGTGCCATCACAGAGACGGCGCGAAGGGGTAACCCTGTACGAAAATTGCGCTCCATCGACGACAAGAAGATGGCACGCAGGCGAGGGCGACGCGAAAAAAATTCAAAATCCGATGGCGGACGGCACCGTGGTAGCGCGGGTACGAGCCGAGGTCGTCATTACCCGTCATTATCATGGCTCTGCCAACCACTGTAATCCGTATTTCATTTTCTGCCGGTTTTTTGTCCCTCCGCTCCCTCTACCCCCATCGACGAAGTGGTTACGGCTCTAGATTACAGGCGTTGGCGGACGACGACCGATAGTTTCCGCGATAGAAGTTACCTTGAGTGTACTCGGCGGTTTGCACCTTCCACCCTTCCTGCCTTGGCCTCTTCTGCGGCTTGACATCTCGCAAAGTGCGTTACTTCAATCATCCAGACTCGCTAAATTAATAACGTCGTCATCTGTGAACATTTAAGGGTGGAAATTAAATTAGAAGTTCAAGTATTAAGTGATTCTTGGAATATTTTTCTTCACAGAAAAGAATACGTGTAATGTTTTTATAACTCTGAGAATATTTCAGGTACGATTTGAAGTACATTTGGTAATTTTTTCGATTCATTTCATATATAGGAATCTTTCAGATACCACGTTCCTTTTTTTAAACTACTTTTTTTCAATCCATATGAATGATAATTCGAAAACTAATTGACTGATCGTTTCCAACCTTCATATATGCTTATATCATTTAAATACTTTGAATATGAACTAATATTTATAAATTGAAATGATATCATCGTTTAAAGTATGTTTATTATTGCAAAAAGTTACACAAAAAATTTGAAAAAATTGAAATGAAAATTGATACTTTTCCTTTAAACACTTTTAAAAAATTCAATTTTCAAACTTGTTTGGCAAAAATTTGGTTTATACGCGTAGAGAACATGTTAACAATCTTTAAAAACAAATTTCATTGATTGTAGATAACAATTGTGACCTCCAGAGTTTTCACAGTTAGGCGACCCGGGCGGAAACTTGCTATATAGGGAACAGCTGATATCTTAAAGATTTCTGTGTGAAATTAACTGAAAAAATCACCAATATACTTTAAAGTGCATTCAAATTATTTTTAAAGTCATAAAAACATTACATACATTCTTCTCTGTAAAAAGAAAAAAAAAATGCATGGTGTACAGTAATATCACACACATACAAAAAAATATACATAATGTATGTTGAAGTAATGTATAATTAGTATAATAATAATATTGTAATTTCATATATATTATTATTAGCATATATTTATTATATTAGATGCATCTAATTTGCAGTATGAATTGATGAGCAATGCTAGAACAAAAATACGTGTGTTCAATTATTTTTAAGTATTTTTAGCTGTCCTATCGTTTTGTTTACGTGAAGGTTGGTTTATTTTCCACGTTCAAGTCATGAAATTGACACGAGTGTCGAAACTCGATAAAAGATGCGAGCTTTATGTTTTATTTGGCAACATCGCCACGCGTAAACCGCGCTTCGCGAGGTAATTAGTTTTTGCTTTCTTATTCCAGTTAACTTATCGACCTCCTCTTCTTCGGCTTCGCGGCATAGTTGCAAGAAAGAGCTAAGACGAAAGGTCAGTACGCGCACAACGGGTGAACCTGTTTCAGGCGCAACAATGCTAACCGCATTCTGCTTCATTTTGCTACGCTAATTAAAATGAGAAGCTCAAAAAATGATCAAAAATCAAAGTAGTAGAATTTATTAAAATGATTCTTTGGGATTTTGTTTGTCGAGTTGCAATGAAATATTAAATGTGTAATTAAATGAAAATTATAAAAGGAAGTGTTTCAAACTTCGAGGTACACAGATATAAATATTTTAAAACCAATATTAATATTTTATGCTTATAAAATGTTGTTTACACAAACGAAACCAACTGTACAAAGTAGTTTTAATACATTATATATTCAATTAAAACAATTTCCACATATTAGGTGTGGAAATTAATTCGGTGTCTTTAGATTCATTTGTTTATAACTGTAGTTTAAGTAAAAATATTTATTGACCATTTTGTTATGTTAGAATACCAGCCTTAATAGTAATGAAACATACAGATTACTTCGACATATTGCTTCTAAAATTATCTGTACTCCTTTGGAATGTACAACTGATGAGAAATTAAAGGTTGTATGATTTTCCCTTATCAATAAATGCTAAGTTTACTGTATAAATGCGTAGAATTAATTCCTATACATAATAATTCTACTTCTCTTCTTTCCCAACGATTAATAAATTTGAACAATCCTGTTTTAAAGATATAATTATAAAACATTAGATTCTGCTATGTAATTACTTCTAAAACTTTTATCCTTTCTGTATCTCTATTTTTATTTAATTAACTTTGACTACTACCAGTTGCATATGTTTATGAAAACAGTAGAGAAACATTTAGAAATGTTTAGAATGTAGCGAAGGTGGAACAAACACCTCAATTCATAAGCATCGGTGGAATACATTAGAAACACCATAAACAACAACGTTATGGGAATAGCATTACTGAAGGCAGCGAATCGATTCCAGTAGCTGCTCAATCTACAATTCAAATTCAGAGGTTTTACTAATTAGCGTAAAAGCTGGTTTCACGACCTACAAACCGTACCGTAAATTTCACTTAACGATAAGACAACGATTTTTTTTTCCGCTGTAGTCCTGAATTAGGAATACATGGACTAATTTAATAACAACGTGACACCCAATCAAATAAATTATGCAATTTAAATTCAATTTAATTATTAATTAATGATGCATCTGGTCATCTCATAAGTCATTGAGAAATTGTATTTAAATAAATTGTAGCAATATGTTGTTATCCTTGTATATCATTTTTTCCTGTGAATAAAATGTTTAATATAAATCTTCGGTATAATCATTTTTAATTGGTAAGCATTAATTACTAATTCGAATTTACTTTGATGACTTGCTGAAGATTGAATGATGTTTTGTGATTTGATCTTGTAGTCTTATGTTTGTGTAATTAAATAGAAAATGATTTATTAAAGAGACTTATGAAATGATTTAATATCATTGCATACCATACAGGTAGACCTTGACCACAAAAAATTATTTTTTTATCTACAATATGTATTTCATATACATGTATCTGTTCACATATGATCAAACTATATTGTTTTCTGAAAATGATAAGAAAATTTAACGTTAAATCTGATCACATAGAACCTGACCAATTAAATTATTTGATTATTTACAAAACATATTTCATATATCTATGTATATGTTCACACATGATCAAAGTACATTGTTTTCTGAAAATGATAAGAAAATTTAATGTCAAGCCTGATCAGAACATTCACAATATACTATTATTTGCCTTTGATATCAACAAATATAAATTTATTAATCGCAAGATATATACCATTCACATTTCCCCAAATATTTTCAAATGAAAATTATCATTGTTTTGAATTACATAATTAACTGTTTCCATACTTTTCGACAAATATTATCGACTATAATCGTTAATATGACGCGTATAGGAACACCGATTAAACGACAGGAAAGTATATTGAATTAATTAATACCTCCCGAGCGCTTAATTAAACGGCTCCGTATAAATGAGCTTGCACAATTTTTGATTCGCCTCCCGTCGGCGCACTGTGTGTATTTCTATGAGATATTGCTCGTCGAGCAATTAGTTCTATCTTTCTTAACCTTTTTAACCCATCGGCCTCTTCCTCTTCAGCTTCGCCGCATCCTTGGGACCGATTACATTCTTGCAGGACAAGGTTGTTAGAAAGGGCAGGGAGAAAGACCGGTGAACGTGTCTATGGCGAGGTAATAAGGTGTAAAAGGTAGCTCGACAAAACAGAATAAACGAATTTTACTTGACTTGGCTCGCGCGCCAGTTTTATTACAAACATTTGTAGGATATTATGGTTTTGTGTTAAAGGGGGAAACTACATGAGGAGGCCAAATAATAAATGTTCGTCCTGGTATTTTTTACAGCGAAAAATTTGCTTAATTTTTGTTCTACTTTGACCAAATATATCGTAAGTATTTATCATTATACGTACTCATATGTTTATTTTTTAGACGATTAATTTTGTTTTCCATTAAATCTACGTAATATTTTTCACTTTTCTATTTTATACTATTATCTTTCTATTATTATGTTTAATAGACCAGGAGTGATAAGTACTTTCCTTTTTCTTTTTTAAGTACTAATTAATGCATTGTGTACAATTTATAATTTTATACACATACTTTAATTTATATTAATTCATAATTTCCTTGCCTTATTTTCTTCTCTCGTACCTTTTCTCATATTCATAATTATTGTTTTAATTTTATATCTATAGGCCGAACAAAGGGTTCGTAATACCAAAAAATAATTTGTTTAACACATAACTTATTTATATATACGTTCATTCTAAAGCTTACTCACAACGTAAATAAACGCTTGTTTATGTCAAACAGTAGTACTTATGCCTAAAAGCTTTTTCCTTAATATTTGTTAAAAAAAAATTTAAAGACTTTCAGGTGACGAGATAATTAGTAATTATTTTATTCCACATTCCACATTCCACATTCTTGAAGTATTTTCGCATGGTTTCTCCGTGAAACGTAAAAGAGCCGGGTGACTGTCCGAGGAAAGTAAACCCAAAGTATCGACAAGGGGGAATTAACCACGAGGTTAAAGGGGTTAAGACGATAAGTGGGAATCTTCGAACGTAGAAGGGACTAACCTTCTTTCGATGGAAAGATGAGATACACTGCACCGCAAGACGGATAAAGACGAAAGAGATTAATCGTCTCGGATAGCTTTGCAATCGGCAGGTATCAAACACGCGAGGTTACCTTCTATCTTGAATGAATACAAACGGCTCTGCTTAACACCCCCGTTCCACCTAATAACGATTACGATTAGCGATAATTCTGGTGGTCGAGAGCAGAAACTCGATTGGAAAATGATCGAACCTCGTAACATTTTCACTTTATAATTAATATTATGTTTTCACGAGAATTGTTCTTTACTAAACTCTAATATATATCTTTTTCGTAGTTTTAAAATTATAATATTACAAACAGATCGAAACGTTGACTAATAAGTCTATGTTCCGTATTGCTGCTGCAACTACAAAGAATTATGGTCATCGGTGATGACTAATCGCAATTAAATCCTAATTGTGGAACTGGATCAATTTTCTTCAAGGACTTGTTAGTCTACATAGTTCTACAATCGTTCTACTAGTCAATAGTCTACAAGAGGAATTAATTTTATCAACCATATAGAGTAAAGTTGAGTTGATTATTTATTAACTTTCAAATTAGCTCAGAGAACATTTAAGTTAATTTAGAAGTATTTATCTCTGCCTGATTCGAAGCTAGAAAGTCTAAATATATTAGACTTAAAAGAAAGTGTATAGTAGCTTCTTCAGATCGACAA